GTGAGTACGTATTTGTTTCTGTGTTGTGAGTGAGTCTGTAGGTGAATGAAAGACAGTATAAGTGAAAGCGGGTGTGCGAATCTGAATACTTGCGTGTATATCAGAATGCTAGGGTTTTTTTTTTCTATTTCTGTACTAAATGAAAAGATATGTTTTTTGTACGCATGCGCGTATGTATCGCTCTTGTATGTAGGAACCAGTAATTTCTGTGTGTTTTTTGCTGTATTTCTAAATTGAATTTAAATGCTGAGGTGTACATCCATTTTAACACGAACGATTATTCAATGTTTGCTTCTGTTCGTGATGATTGTTGTCTCTGAGCGTATCTGAGAGTTGGATTAAAAAATGACATAAAAAAACTGTTTATAATAGTTTGTCTTATATTTTTCATAAAGTTACATAACAAAGTCTATGTACGCAATGAGAACTATCTAAATACCACTTTAATTTTGTCTCTCCGAGTTTCAAATTTAAGAATAAATTATCGGAATTTTAATTAGAATTCTATATCAGTAAATGTACGCATATTCTTGATAAGTTATTACTTTCACGATTGACACAATATTTGGGGCTCTACTGATGACATACGTATTCATAGTTGGCATAAGAATAACCTTGAACAAAAAACCAACATCCTCTCCCAAGTGTTCCAAGAAATAGGACTCAAGATATACCTTTTCAAAACAGAAAATATGATCTGTAATTCGAATGAAAGCAGTGAGGGTACATACACTGAATCTGTCATAAAAAATCAGGATATAGGATTACTAAATACTAAACACGGTCTATGGATCAGTTATAACAAATAAAATATAGGTGAAAATGATATTGAACATAGAATAAGCTGTGCCACAGGAAGTTGCGCACAACACAGCTACAATTACTACAAAATCTAAACATCAACATGGAAATTCGAGTCGTGTTCTGAAATAGTCTCTTCAGTTTGAGGCTTTCTTTCATATGGCTGTCATACATGGTGCCAAACCCGTCGAGAATTCTCTAAACTGCCAACGGTATACAACCGTTTTCTAAAATCAATGGCGAGAAAAGACTGAGCGAATGAATTCTGAGTGTCTTTCATCCTTCTTTAAACATTGTGAACTGACGATACACAATAACAAATAACTGTACCAAATAACAAAAACCTTATCACTTGAGGACTTCCAACAGCAGCAAGAATTAAAATGGGTAGCACATGTAAATCAAAGAGAAAATAATGACACAATCGAGGTGTTCATATTCCAAATAAGTTCAAAGTTAGGAAGGAAATTTCCATCTATACTGGAAAGAGCGATAATAGCTACTGAACTTGAAAAAAATATTTTTCTGAGAATTTTTTAATTTAAGTAGAGTTCACTTATAATTGAGTCTATCCAGCTTTTCCTTCCGGGGTCAATGTACTGATAATGAATGGGGCTATACTGATGACATAGGCATTCATAGTTGGGATAAGAATGATCTTGAACAAAAAGACAACATACTCTCCCAAGTATTCCAAGAAATAGCACTCAAGATAAACTTTTCCAAGACAGAAACTATGATCTGGAATTGGAATGGAAACAGTGATGGCACATAACCTGAGTTCATCAGAAATATTTAGGATATGGAATTAGTAAACACTAAACACTCGGAGCATGGATCAGTTATAATAAATTTAATATAGCTAGAGTTAGTTTCAATTAACAACAAAAATTACTACAAATCCAAAATATTAACTTGAATATGCGAGTCGTGTTCTTAAATCGCCTTCTCAGATCAAGAATTTGGTATGGATGCCAGACATTGCGCAGAATCCATTTATAAATATCTAAACTGTCAGCTGTAAACAACCGCTTTCTAATATCAGTGGTTATAAATGACGTTGAGAGAGTGAAACCTGTGAGCTTTGACAAATATTATCCTTCTTTAAAAATTGTGGACTGGCGCTATGGAATTACAAAGAACTGTACCAATTAACAGAAGCTATCAAACCCAGCAACAACTAAAATAACACATGTAATAGAAGAGATAGTAATGACATAATCAATATGTTAACGTTCCACACCACTGCAATTAAAAGGTTGGGAAGGAAACTCTCATCAATACTGGAAAGAGGGATAACAGATGCTGGATTTGAGAAACCTATTTTCCTGAAAAAATGTTTTGAGAGAAAGACTTTATAAATTTCAACCAACAGCAGTACTGACTGCTTGGACAATGAATGCTAATTTTTTTCCCTTGCAGAGGAACAGCTGATATTACTATTACCATTATCATTAAGTTGAGAAGATATTGATTATCGACGTTTGTAATTTGGTTGTTGGTGCCTCGGAAGGAAAGACATAATGAAGGGCGAAGGACGCTTTTTTTTAAAAATCTTTTCTTTTGCTTTGTTAACGCACGTGGAGAGGAGCAAGGAAATAAAAACAATAATCTTCCGAATGGTTTTCACTTATTCATTACATGCCTATTTAATATATCCGATTAATAGGAGTAGACAAGTTCGCATATCGTCCGGTTCACACACCTCCTCAATATTTTCGACAGGAGTAAAGGTTTATCCCTTGTTTACTATTTAGGACTGGGCTTATGCTTTCTTCTAATGTCCACTTCAACTACATACTTCTAACGTCTCCTCCTAAACTGTGAACTTTTGTTTTTTATTTATTTGTTTCTATCGTCCAGTTTACACGCCTCCCTGGCCTTTTGAAGAGAAATAGATGTTTATTCCTTATATTCTGTTCAGGATTGGGTTCCCGATTCTTCTTAAAATCTTTTTCATTCTCTTTTCTGTCATAGTAGCCTCTTACGCATTCGTAGTTTCATTGCTTTATTCGAAATAAATATATATATATATATATATATATATATATATATATATATATATATATATATATATATATAAAAACTCAAACACTAATTTTCCATGGTTATAATTTATTACATTGGAATCGTAATCAAGACAAATCATCAAAACTCCAAATTCAAAAAAAAAATCGGAAAATGTAACTCCGGATATCATTTCCGATTTCTTTTTGAATTTGTTTGTCTGATGAATTGAATCGTGATTACGCTTCGAATGTAATAAATTATAACCATGGAATATTAGTGTTTCAGCCTTTATATTATATTCTTACTTTGTCCTGGACATTGATTTCTACCTGCATTCTATCCTCTTGAAATTTATATATATATATATATATATATATATATATATATATATATATATATATATATATATATATATTGATATTGATATTATATATATATTGATCATTGATATTATATATATATATATATATATATATATATATATATATATATATATTGATCATTATATATATATATATATATATATATATATAGATAGATAGAGATGTATGTATATAGATATGTATGTATATATATATATATATATATATATATATATATATATATATATGATCTTTTAAAAGGGATCATATTTTATTCATGAAAAAGGATACAAGTACCAGAGCGATTAAAATTTTACGTACGTTTCGGCCGATACATCTTCAGTAAAAATAATATCGTCGGCAAGTAAAACTAAGTGTTAAAAAAAGAAAAATTATTTTCAACAATTGGTGTTAAAATATACAAAAACTAAGGTAGGGAAAAATTAAAACATTTTCTTAGGCGTCGAATTGGCGACCTGCTCCCCGAACAAGGCCAATTTGTGTTTTAATTCTCTCTGCCTTCTCAGGGCAGGTCGTTGTATATTGATAACAACAAACTCCAAGATGTTCAGGTGGAATCTGCTCCGTGCCTTGTGCAAGAAAGAGAAGAACTACGGAGAATAGTCCGTCCTACAAGAGAGAGAATTCAATAAATGCTCGCCGATAGCTCAGTAATGAGCCTGTGAAGAGCCGGATGCTACAGGCTCATGTTTACGCACCTGGCCCGGAACATGCTGGGCAGTTCTAACCTCTATCCGCTGGATAGTCTTGCCCACATAGTTGATCTCACATCGACATTTATGCTGAGACACGACTAAATTCAGCTGATGACCAGGCAAGACATCATTGTGGCCAGAGGGGAAAGCCCTTTTGGTAGAAAAAATACTCCGGATCAAAACGTCGTTAAAACAAAGTTTCATGGGAGAGGATATTTTATCGGCGGATATTTCACGCACTTAGTTTTACTTGCCGACAATATTATTCTTTCTGAAGATGTCTCGGCGGAAACGTACCTAAAATTTTAATCGCTGTGATACTTTTGTATCCTATTTTTAAGAATAAAATATGATCCCTTTTTTAAAGATCATTTTATTCTGGTGTGGCAATAATAATCTGTTTATATATATATATATATATATATATATATATATATATATATATATATATATATATATATAAAAAAAAGAACAGTAAGATATATAATCCAGTGTTGTTATAGATATTTTATTTTTACAAAATAGTGCTCAATGTAAATTTGCAGAGCATTAATATTATAAATTAATTGATTTAAAATATGTTTTTCACTACACAGTTCTAACCCTGTGTCAAAATAGCTTCCATTTTTGAAACATGGTTAGAACTGCGTAGCGAAAAAAAATATTTTTAAATCAAGTAATTTATAATATATATATATATATATATATATATATATATATATGCATTTAAAATTACTGGGTAAGTATATTAAAAATTAAAAGTAAAAATATTTCAAATCGTAATTAAATAAAAAGTATTCTAACCTAAACACCTCCTAAAAATCTTTAAATATACGAAGGAAAAAATGTCGTAAGAATCTTTGCCGTTAACAATAAAATTTTTAAAAAATCCAGACGACACGCTGTTAGATTTCATTGAAAAATACATCCCTGCCCACTACCAAAACGTAGCAATAACAGATACATTAAAATATAGACATATTGAACACCCAGACACCCCTCGTCTAGTAAAATGAATTCATCTGTAACCTTGGAAACATGAATTATGATTTTAGCTGTCTCTTTAAAACCCAGGAATTTTAAAAGTTACTCCAAAATTCGCTTGAGGAGG